AACTTAAGCACTTTGGTTCTTACGGGTATGACTTGAACTTCTCTTCTGTGTTCTTTTAGATTATAATTTCATTGCACATTGTTCATAGGAATCCATTGGGTATTGGAAAAAAATTATACCAGTAAGACATCGTAGGTAGCAAGGTTATTTAAGTTTCATCTTATTCATATGGTTGAGGAGATTTAATAGTACAATGAATAGACTGTACGAATGCTTTCTATTTAGAAGATTATAGATTAGTTTAAGTTATCCGTAGCTTGGATTAATATACAACAACAACAACAACAACGACGATCCAGTACAATCCCACAAAGTGGGGTCTGGGGAGGATAGTGTGTACCAGACCTTACCCCTACCCTGATAGAGCAGAGAGGTTGTTTCTGATATACCCTCGGCTCAGGAAGATAGAAAAAGTATCCGGCATTACATCACTAAAAATAATGAAGGGTCCCAATTAATAATGACTATACACATTGAAATATCAGAATAGAACTACCCACGGTAGAATAGAATTGGATGTCATTTTGTAATCACAGTAAAAGTACAGATATATTGACTTTTGAAGCAAATTGGAGTGACCTATCTTTCTGCAGTAGAAAAGAGTTGCTTCACAACAACCTTTCAAGAGTCACCATAAGCAGTTTATAAGCAACTTCATACTGCTTTTGTCCTCCTAATTTGAGTTTGAGTTACTCTTCAAAGAACCACTAAATAAATACTATGTCGAAAACATAGTTGATAGCCTTGCCAAATTATATAAAAAGACCGAATGATAAGGATCTAAATTCGAAATCAAACTTTTAGTTCAGAATAGGTGAACTTACAATAATAGTTGTTACAGTAGCTTGGATTAATATAATTTGACAAAATTAGAATTAAACATGAAATTCCGAGGGTGGAGCATTCTCGATTACTTGTGGATTAGCATGAATAAGGAAATTAACAGGAGATCAATATGATGTGATTATAGATTGACTGAAAGGGGTATCACGGACTGCTCGAGGTGATGGGCTTGGTATTTCGACACGAGTATGGTGAGTAGTAATCTTACCGCAATTTGTGTTTTCATAACCTGCATGGTTTATACATTATTTTGAAAATAAAATATGTTACCGAATGTTTGAAATTGCATGTGGGACAAGTCCTTTACTTGATATGGTACTGAATAGTTTACTTGAGATGTTTACAGTTATTTAAAATGTTCTCACTGTTACTAGACATGTTTTACTATTACTAGAGATATGATTACCGTTACCGAAATTGGATTACATGATTTGATAAAAAAAATTTAAAATTCCCTGTACTGTTTTGAATATACTTCCATGTGAAGATTTACTATTTACAAAGAAAAGTATAAAAGGGAGGAGACCTTAAAGGATTCCGTAGCTAACGGCGGGTTCGTTAGACCTGGTGCACCTTGTATTTATCGATTACCGAGTACAGTTATAGCCCTCGCTAGTGGGAAGGTAGAACTAGCATACAGTTACAGTTTTCCCTCGAGAAGGGACCTACCGTTATATTTGACTCCTTTTACGAAGGAGTCCACACAGTGATACAGATACATGATCCTTTCTTGGAAACCTCCCAAACATAAGGAATTGATATGATACAGTGCTTACCGAGTTTATTACCGAATTGTTAAATTGATTTCTGTTACAGGAAATACATAATGAGACTGATTATTCTTACCGATTTGAAAGGGCATTTTATTTTTATGATAATTTCTGAATTTTATTATACAAGCATGTATTTCTGACTTGTCCCCAATAAAAAACGGTTGTGGTTAAGTGTTATTATTCACTGAGCTAGCAACTCATTCCTCGCTAATTTTTTTTACAGAGACAGCAGTTGACGCAGGCGAGGATTTCGTTAATTAGAACGCGCAGGTTGAAAGTTCTCGGTGAGCCTCGCATTTGTTCGCGTGGGCGAAGATTTTTATTTATTTTTATGGTCTTTCTTTAAACTCTTAGAGTCGCTCCATAGTCATTATTTTAGTATCCTTTTGTTATTATAGTCTTATGTTGAGTATCGTTCTCATTTATCAAAGTTGGAGATAAATTAGTATTTCTAGTGGTTAGTTGGTGGTTTAGTTATGGTGGAGACTTGTATTGGTTAATTGACAAGTTATCAATTGTTTGGTATGATATTAGGATGTTTAGTTGCTGATTTGAGACAGGAAAATTTTTGGGATAGTCCAAAAACAGGGGAAACTCTGTCCGATTTTCTGTAAAATTACCGATGAGGCTTACTTGGGAGCACTTGCTCCTAAGCGCCGGTCACAATCCTAAATTGGGTCGTGACACTAGACCTCCTTAATCTTGTCTCCAATCCTTATCCTTGTTGAGATGGATGTGTGGGTGTACCAGGAGAGATAGGATTAGCAATGAAGCTATCCGGGACAGAGTGGGAGTAGCCTCATTGGAGGACAAGATGCGGGAGTCGAGGCTGAGATGGTTTGGACATGTTAAGAGAAGAAGCATTGATGCTCCTGTTAGGAAGTATGAGAGGTTGGCCATGGAGAGTTTGAGAAGAGGTCGAGGTAGACCTAAACTATTAGGGAGAGGTGATTAGGCAGGACATGGCGCTGCTTCAGCTCACTGAGGACATGACCATTGATAGGAGAGTGTGGAGGTCGAGCATATTGTTAGAAGGTTAGTAGGTAGTTTATAGTTGTTCACCAATAGTCTTAGTAGTATGCATGTCCCTTCATATTCTTAGATTTTTATTATGTTATGTGGTTTTGTTCGCCTCAGGTATTGTATTCCCTGTTGCTATTTATCCTTTATCTCTCCCTTTTTCTTTTATCTTCCATCTTTCTTCCTCCCTTGCTTTCTCTTCTTCTTCTTGCCCTTCCTGAGCCGAGGGTCTATTGGAAACAGCCTCTCTACCTCCATTAGGTAGGGGTAAGGTCTGCGTATAGACTACCCTGCTCAGACCCCACTTGTTGGAATCAAACTGAGTTTGTTGTTGTTGTTGTTAATCCTTATCCTTGTTAATTGATAGTTTTACTGTTTTCTAGTATTTGATAGTTAATTAGATAAAAATAAACATTATAATATTTATAATTAGGAAATTGTTTGGACTTCTGCTTCTTAGCGATATTGAACAACTGTAGCTAAGCCTTAGTTCTCTATGGGATTCGACTCCGGACTTGTAAATCGGATTATATTTGCAACGACCGCTTAGTCCTTTTTATAAGGCATAATTGGGCGTGATCATGGCACTCATATTTTTCCCAGTCAACAGTAAAAAACACATTGTCAGCTCTCATATTAATAGCCATGAACAGTCAAATAGAGACATTCAAGTTGGGATAAAATGCACATATGATGCAGAGCAATAGAAATACTTTTTTATGAAGTAGATTTCATTAATGGTATCAAGAAGATGCGGATGTAAAAAAAGATAGAGGTCAGCTCCAATAAAGAGAATTCTAAGCTAAGGCTAGTGAGCTGACAAAGAAGAACAGCATACATACCTAATTGATTCTGAGACGTCACGGCAACAATTCTCAAAATGTAATATCAAGTCAGGGATAGAAATTAACCCTGCAGCACATAGAAACATAAACTGTTAGATATCAATTTTTACATTATTTTCCCTCATTCATGGATACTAAGAGAACTTTCTCCTGAAAACTGGTAAATTAATCTACACTGTATAATGTCCAAATCTTTAAAGTTCAGATCTTCCAAAGCTGACAAGTGAGGCTTGCTCTAGTGGTTGAGCACCTCCGCCATCAACCAGTGGGTTGAGGGTTTGAGTCACGTTAGAGGGTAAGTGGGAACACTATTGATCTTCCTGATGGGGTGGGGTGGGTAAAAAAGTCCTCCAAAGCCCAATTCAGGCCATATATACAACCCAACATGTTGTATCTGTAAAAGAGTGAGAGAACCAAAAATATTGAAGTTTGTTTTAAAAACAAAAGGAGCAAAATTCAAAACTTTCTCTATTTCACATGCACAAACCCATGCAAAAGAGAGAAGATTATTATGCCTCAACAAAAATTTAATTCAACGATTGTCCTGTCTAGCTCTCTCTCAGTTTCCTATTGAATCCAGCTTCTACGGAAAGCATTGGATACCATCCTTATAAATATAGGGGGGAAATCCAAAGATTATGAATAATCCAAGTACCAATCAACAAAAAGATTAATGATCTTGACATGTCAACTTTAACATCAGATCAGTTTAAGTTACTAGAAATGTAGACAACTTGGATACAAGATTTAACCAGAAAAGAAATCATAACCACACAGTAAGAAAATCACTACACTAGTTCTTCTAGTCTATGAATCTTAGTGATAAGCATGCAGAAAATACCAAACAAAACCCCATGAACACAAGTTAGTTACACAATATAACCATACAGAGCTTATAAATATATCTCATGCCTCTCCACTTCTCGATCTGCATATAGATATTCATGATTCTATTTATTCCTAAAAAAATCAATTAATCANAAATTAGACATACTACAAGTTTATTAGGGTAAGGTAAGTAAAAATTAGAATCACAGTTTTTTTCACTAAACATCAAAATTCAAGACATAATGGGGGAAGGGAATCCAAGACATCATTTGCACCAAGCAATCCCATCTCGCAGATATCATCGAATATAAGAAGTGTAAATGGACAATTAGTGTTGGAGCCCTAGGGTAATTTCAAAATGTAAGCTACATAATAACGACAATCCAAAATCATCACCCAAGCACTTTCTGTTGATCAAAGAATGCCACCTTGTGCTGCTGTAAATAAGGTTATATTAGGTCAACACAATTTTACTAGTAAGCACCTTGAAGAGCTGAATCCAGTAGAGATGCAAATAAAGAAAATGTTGAGTCTCCACTGTCCGGTGATGCATCATGCTCCTCCTTGCAAGTTCTAAGGGAAATACTTCCACCGCGACGAATCAAATCATCAGTATCTATCTCTAATATCCCATGGCTATCAAGAGACGGTCTACTCTTAAAGGCAGTTTGTATTCGAGAAGGTGTTACATCAGCATCAATACTTTCAACTTCTTGTTTGATGTTCTCCATGAGAAGTGCTCCATTCGATCTAACCTCACTGACCCTAGCAGTAGATCGTTCCCGATGAGGAGATAGGCTTGAACCTGAACTCCTTTTCCTGTGCATGGTACTGATGCTTCAGTGCCGGTGTGAATTTACAGAAATTTTAAATACACACACAATAACTAAAATAGATGCCAAGCCCATAAAAATCATAGCCGATATATGAAACAGCATATAGTTAATACAGAACATATAAGCAAAGGGACCTTCAACTACCATACTCTAAATAACTTTCTAGAAAATAATACCGCTCCACTGCCACCTATACAGAAATAGCACATGCTCTTATAAATAAATAGAGTATCAATAG